TCATCATCATCATCATCATCATCATCATCATCATCATCATCATCATCATCATCATCACTATCACTATCACCATCATCATCATCATCATTATCACTCTTAATATTCTCATTTGAAACGCAATCTCAATTATTATAATTTACAATAGAGAATTGTCTACAACAAAACTCGTAAACGATTTCACGAACGACATTAATGCTTCTTATGTATTATTTACACACTTGTATCGTAGATCACTTTCAAATCGTTTCGCAAGGCATCTTTTGAGCAATACAGTTGGATCTAACTGATTCATAAATTTATGATGAATAATCATTTTGCAATAATTCTACAGAGTTAAATTACTTTCATTCTTAAATATGAGTGCATATTTATTAATTATATATAAATAAATTTTATATATTTCAAAATAATTGAACAAATATTCTCATAGTATAGCGAACGATTTGAAATAGATCGACTGGCTATAATAATGAGCTAGAAACGGTTCTAATGTCTGTTAAAAGTTGTCTTAAACTACAGTCTTTATATATCGATTATCATTTACAGCAGGACGTCAATAAATAAACTTCGACGCACTTTCCATCAATGTTCTCTTTACATTATGTATAAACATTCTGGATTTCAATAAAGATATATATATCTATATATGTATTATATATATATTTATATATATATATTTATCTATATAGTATCAGGCATTCAATAAACTGTATTCCATCCATAAAATATTATTTTTTCCCTTTTTTCCCCCTCAATTAATTAATTACGCTCATCTCACAATTGTTGATATATGTTCACTCATCATTATCAACACATTGTTTTCTCTTTAGTGTATCAAACGCATATACATATTAATTAATTTATATGTTTATATGATCGGAAAAGAGCAAGAAATCATTTCTCGATTAAACTTTCATGCCTGTAGTTCTTAGACGACCATTAACAAATACATTCGACCGTAGTCATACATACATAGAGAGACATGTGAGGTAAAACAATCCAATCTAATTGGTGATTATAATAATACTCGTCTTAATCCGTTAAATCAAAGCAAAAAGAAAACAATGATCTTTAATCGATTAAAAGAAATTGCTTTTTTTTCTTTTTTTTTTTACACTTTTAAGAAGAAGCATAAAAAAACTAGGCTGTCCTTTAAATATTTCTGTTTTCAAATTATACTGACACGTACTACTAATTGTAATTATAAAATAATGTAAATATGAATAAATGTTACATATCTAGAAAATTACATAAATTTCTAAATCAAGTTAGAGCCTTTTAAAATATAGCATGCTAAGTAATAATCATTAAATTACACTTATTTGCAAGAGATTTTAAAGCACATACATTATTCTCTTCTTAAAATCTTCATACAAGCCCCAACTTGAAAATTTACGTTTACATAATATTTGTTACAATTAAAGAACTTTACAATTAGAAGTACACATTCAGAAAGTTTGATTAAACGTTCCAAGACGCATACTTTATCATTTATATGGTTCTAAAAACCATAATATATATTTATTAATGAAACTTGAAGTATCGAATAATAATTAGTAAAAATGTAAGTAAATCAAATTGAAAATATTCTACAATAACGCAAAGGAAGTACAATAGTACAATTGTATTTTTCCCAAAAAATTTGTTCATTCTTTTAATGTGTATTCATAATTATTAACTTGAAAATAATCTATCAAAGATTAATTTCATTACAGCATACAGTTAATGTTATAATTAAACTGTAAATTATTTTTATCTTTTTTTTCTTTTAGAACTTCATTTATGCAAGAGTTTATTAACTACAATTCATACAATATGAATGAAATTATTTTTTTCTTCTTTATTTTCAAATCTGATTTTTGGGAAACAAGTATTCGATTTTTAATTTATAAAATTAGTTTTTGCTCCAAATGGTTTAAAGGATTTAGTTTTTTAGT